TACGATGATTATGTTTTTATTCTTATAAAATCTTATAAAATTTCTCATGATTACGGAAATCAAATAATTTTTTTTTTATCATAATTGATATTATATCTTTCATTTTTCATTTTTTTTTTCCTATTTTATAAAAAATTTTAAAATTATTACGAGATTATAAATTATATTTAAAATTATTAATGAAATAAAAATTATTATAATAATAAATATAAATAAGAAATAAATTGAAAGATTGAATGAAACACGAATAAAAGAACTTACTAGTTTATTTTCCGCCCTTCCTTTTATGCATTAACGTACGTGGACGTTGTATCATTTTCTGTTTACCAAAGCTTGCGAAGTGGCATATTAAAAACGAGCCGAAAATATGTTGTTTAATTTCCACATTATCTTGATTAGTTTACAATAGTTTACAATAAAAAAAGAAGCAGAAGATAAAAATAGACCATGATAAAAGAAAATCATTTTCTTGCGTGCTGCATGCAACATGGACAGTTTTACACGAATATGATTAGAAGGTATAAATGTGTAAGTGAGTGCGCCATCGAATGAGACTTTTGGTCGAAGAAAAAGAGGGGAGTACGAAGCTACTAAGGTGAATCCTTGTATACTGTTGCGCCATTGAAAAAATTCCATATTCGACGAGTGAATACGACAGTTTCAGTTAGATTGTTTCCACATTGAAAATTAAATTTTTATATTTATTTATAGAGTATACATTGCATTTTAGATATGAACAGTATCTGAAAGAAAATATTTAAAATATTGTTTTATATGTACTTATTTATATATTATTTGATATTTATTAATTATTTTAATTTAGATAATTAAATTATCTAATAATTTTTAAATTACTAAAATATAAATAATAATGAAAATGGAAAATTATACGTTACAGACACAAATTTTTTTTCAATTTTTAATTTAGAAAAATCAGATTTTAATAAAATAACACAATTTATGTATTATTTAAAGAATTAATTAAAAATTAAAAATTTGAAATTTATTATATATTTTCAGATATTTTTTATTTTGAACTAAATTGAAATTATAGAATATAGTTTGTGCATGAGATTTTTTGAAGATATCGCAGTTCTATTTAATAGAACATCCAGTCGAGTTCCAGATTTAGCAGCAGTCTGCTCCCTCTTGTCTCAGGACGACCGGATTTTCACTAAAAAAAATGTAAGACAAGCGAAAAGCTTCTTTGGTTTGTTGCGTGCATTTCCACGAAGTCTTTAAAAGGAATTAATAATTTTCAAATGAAAAAAGAAAAAGTATGAACAATAAAGAGAATATATTAGTGATAAGTATAGCAACGTTGCACATTATCTATTTGGACAAAGCGATGATAGAGGGATATTAACCGTTTGCTTATCGCCTTTACAGATAGTATAGAATTCTTGATTTTGTATTCTTGCATATTTTGTCAATAACTAATAGAAATGAAAAAAAACAGAAAATAGTAATTCTATAAATAGTTACTATTCAATTTTATAATAATATTAAATAATATTATAAATACTTTTATATATTCTTATAATATTAATATAATATTATTATAAACAATAATACTTATTAGAAATAAAATAAATAATTTCTTAGATATATGAATCCTATTTAAAATATATAGAAAAAGTACATACAAATATATTAAATTCTCTACAAAAATGAGTTTTACATGGATCTAAGCTGATTTGGTCTGAAAAAAATGGATGTAAACGGCTTTTCAATCCCTATGAAAAACCTGTTTCTCTTCACATGTGCTTCTTGTTCTCCTAATTTCTTTAGAAAATCATTCTAAAATTTTGCTTCAATCATCTGAGCAAAACAAAAAAAGTTTTTTTAATTTGTAAAAGATATTATATAAATATGTTTAATTATATTTATAATTTAATTTCAATTAATAGAAAAATATTATATAATATCTTTATTAATTTTTTTAATTTTACCATTATAATTTTAAAATTATTAAAAAGTAACATTCTACAATAATTTTTTTTTTGATAATGTAAATTTCGGTTCATGTTTTGAGAAAAGAAGATATATATAGAATTATGCTAAGAGGTCTCTGCGCACAAGTAAATGGAGAGGTATTACACTCAGTAATTGTAATGAATGGTTACCACAAGGCAAAACACATCTTGAATAGTAGGAACAAAATGCACTGTTACATGGAATAATTGCACTTGACGCCAGAAGGTTTCTACCAGACCGACAATTCTTTTGCTATTGTATAGGGAACAATGTATCAGCAGGTAGCCGATCATCGATCAGGAATCCCTTCGGTCAATGGCCTTGCAATGCACGCCAAGTTCTTTTTATATGTATTTATATGAAGTGTTAATATATAAATCAATTGTTCTTGTACATTTATATAATGTATGTATTATTTGTAATTGTAATTGGATTTATCTTTTTCAAATTTCTAATCTTCTAGTAATAATATTCGTTGCGAATATTTCATTCTAATTTTATTGACTTTTATTTTTGTACTATATATAAAATTTATAACTTATATATTGATAAAATTTTATTATTATATATAACTAAATAATCATGTTATCATGTTGTCTAATTCTATGGATCATGGATTACAATTCTATAGATTAATAAAAAAATGTTTCTAGTATTGCAATAGAAAGAAATATAAGGTGTACTCTACATATAGGGCCAAGGTTTATCTGTGTAGACGAGTGTCAGTGGGTCGACACCCGCAAACCGGTCCTGACCACGTGGAATGTGAGCCCGCTGTGCGATGTTGCCACGTATATGCATGATTTTCCAAAAGTGCATCTACCGCAGGCTTATTATACGCAACACATGTGCATATATATTTTCTTGTCCTCTCAACTTTTGTACAATTTCGAAAAAACTAACTTTAAAGTCTGACTTTTACTAATCAAAATATTCAAATATCAGTTCATAGCAATATCCATCTATATGTATTTTTTATATATGCATTTTTATATTTTCTTTTTATAAATTTTGTAAATTATTTATTTTGCAATAATAAATAATAATTTTGTAATCATTTTTATATTAGAATTATTGTTTATAATCTATCATTCATCATCATTAAAATATAAAACTATATTTAATTACTTCACTAAATTAATAATTACTTAATGTTATAAATCTATAAATTATAATTTGCAATTAAATATAATAAAAATAAATCTCTATTATTTTCTAAATTTAAATAAATTTCATAAAAATTCAGCAATAATTCAATATTTTCTTAAAAAAAAAAAAAGAAAACAAAAATAGTACGTTTTATTTAAAAAATGACGCATAATTTACGCATCTATGAACGCACTATTCTCACCCGTTGGACAACCCTACTCTTCAAGGTCATTGTTCCTCTATTATACCAAGCCCTTCTTTATGCCTGCTAGAAACGAATGAATTTTTATGGCAGTATATTCTTAAGGAGCTTGACAATATCAATGTGTTTCCTGTGTAAGACACCTGTTATATCGCTACTCTTTTCTTCACTACATACAATGTGCATTTAATGCAATTAAATACTATCTCTTTCTTTTTTTGTTTTTTTTTTCTTTCAATCTTTGTCTTCAACCGTTATTTTCGTTACAGATCACGATCTGAGAATAATCTAAGTGACGGAAAATTCTTTGTGACGTAAAGAAAACTGCAAATATCTGAAAAATAACATATAATAAAAGAGAATTTTTAAAAAAAAAATGATTTTTCATTTTTCAATTTTTGATAATCAGAATCTATTTTATAGATACTTTTAATAGAAATCATTTTTAGCGATTAATAAAAATCAATAAAAAATTCTATACAAAATCATGTAAATTATAAAATTTTATACAATCATTATCAAATTTTTTACATATCATTATTTATATTATAAATGAAAAAATATGAAATAAAATAATTAGAATTTTAGTGAAAATTTTTACTTAGTTTTATAATTTAGCAATTCTACGCTAATATGTAATTTCTCTAATACTAACATTTCTCTTGATACGTTTTTATGCATTATGGCGTCTCTCCGGCGAAAAAACTTGTGAGCATGCGATTACAAGAATGTGATGTAATCCGCATGCGCGCGCGCACACATAAGGAAGTCAAAGAAATACTCATAACTTGTTTTGTATGCGAAGAAGAAAGTCGTTGAACCAGATTATCGGAGCATCGACCATGAAGTCGACGGCCGGTAAATAGAAACCTCCGCGAATAGAAACCTGTTTCTTCTTAAGTTCCACGCCCTTCCATCGAGTCTTCAATTCCACTAGAAACGGATCTTATATGTGTTACAGGGTCAATCTTCGATAAAATGTTGCCAGAGGCATCGTGGATTATGAGTAATAAGGATCTCTTCTGCCATCTTAAGGAAGTATAACTAACTTCCGTGAGAAAGATCAGATCATTTTCTTTTTTTGAAAAAGCGTTGCAATTTAAGCTTCGCTAACTTTAATTTAGTAGTCAATAGAATTGGCATATAATTATTAGGAACTATAATTATAAAATAAATTATATAAATAAATTATTATGATGATATTATATAAATAATATTAATGAGAATAGAAACAAAATGCATTAGTGAAAAATATTTATATATAACGTATTAATATATTTATACAGAGATATCTTTAGAATATTGATTCTAAGATCAAAACAAATACAAAAATGTTATTTAAGATTTATTAAATTATGAACAATTTAAATTTGCATTTAGTAGTAAAGTAGCAATTTAAATGCTTAAAATTTAATAAATAAGAATCAACCAACATTTTTTCATATCAATTATATATAATCTATTTATGTAGAAATAACTCTCTGAAAATGATATATATTAATTAAATACAATATATTAATACTTTAATATATATTGATATTAGAATATTTTATAGAACTCATACATTACAATTTTTTAATAAAAAGATGTATCTTAAATATATTATATTAATATTATAATAATATTATATTTATTTAAATATTATTTTTATTTTTTTATATTCTTTATTTTAATTATTAGATAATTTGAGATTATTT